CTTGAATTTGGATATCTAGCCTCCTAAACTGTAAGAAAATAAATTCTTGTTTTTTAAAGCCATCCATTTGTAGTATTCTGTGATATCAGCACTAATGAACTGAAAGTGCCCTTCATTGTCTCTTATGGTTGTTTTTGTGTTAAAATCTGTTTTATCAGAAATTAATATTGCCGCTCTGCTCTTTTTTGATTGCCATTAGCTTGATGTTTTTGTTTTGTTTTGTTTTGTTTACAATCTTTGATTTTTTTTGTCTATTTCTGCCTATGTGTCTTGTAGACAGCATATTGATGGGTCATGTTTCTTATCCATTCTGCACCTATCTGTCTCTTGATTGAAGTATTTAATCCATTTACATTCAGTGTAATTATAAACAACTATGAATTTATTGCTCTCCTTTTGTTAGGGGTTTTATTGTAGTGTTGCTGATTTCTTTGTTCCATATAATTTTCTGTGCTGAGCTCATTTTGTTTTATGATTTTTTTAAATCATTTCCTTCATTGCTATTGTTTTAGTATTTGCTAAATATTTAATGACTTTCCTCTTTTTTTTTTTATTTTCATGAGAATGTTTATTAATTTTCTTTGAGGTTACCCTGTGATTTATTATTTTCTTCCCAAGTTTAAAACAATCCATTCTATCTCAAATTGCCTTGACTCCTCTTGTTTTGCAAACTCTGTAACAACACTGTGGCCCCTCTTTTTGCTTTGTATTTGTCCTCATTTGAAAATTGATCTCTCTAGTTCCCTGTTTTCAGTCTTGCAAGTTTATTTTACTTTGGATACTTCCATGTCTTGGTTAAAGAAAACAAAAATCCTTACAACTGGACCAATAAGCATCATCATGATAAATGGAGAAAAGATTAAGTTGTCAGTGATTTCATTTTACGTGGATTCACAATCAACACCCAGTAATCAAGCAATTCAAAGGACATATTGCATTGGGCATCTGCTGCAAAGGACGTCTTTAAAGTGTTAAGGAGCAAAGAGAGCACTTTGAAAACTTAAGGTGCATCTGACCCAGGCCATTGTGTTTTCAGTAGCTTCATAATTATGTGAAAGCTGGACAGTGAATAATGAAAACCACAGAGGAATTGATGCCTTTGAATAATCGCAATGGCGAAGTATACTAAATATACCATGGAGCCAACAAATATGTCGTGGAAGAAGTGCAGCTGGAATGCTCATTAGAAGCAAAAATGACCAGACTTCATCTCTTATTCTTTGGTCATATTATCAAGATGGACCAGTCCTTGAAGAAAGATAGCATGCTTGGTAAAGTAGAGGATCAGCAAGAAAGGGGAAGAACCTTGTGGTAGTAAAGGTCATGTGTCAGCTTGGCTTGGCCTCGTTTTGTGTGAGTAGGAAACTGATGAGACTGGTAATCAACTCTGTGGTGGAATCTACTGTGAGCTGCTGAGTAGCTACCTTAGGAATGTAGTCTGCTTCCAGTATATAAGAAAGCAGCTTTGAGAAAGGTCTTTGAGCTTTTTGGCATGCTTGGACCCTGTATGCAGCCAGGTCTTCATTCAGCATCTGGCTATGTTGCCTGCCTATCTTGGAACTACTTCTGGACTTGAACTAGTGGCCTACCATATTACTTAATAATCTTGGGATCACGCCATTTCACTTGTCAGCATTGGGTTTGTCAGCCTCAGCAGCCAGCAGCTGCCTGAGTTAAGAGAAGCCTCCAGCTTAAGTAGGCCAGGAGCAAGAGAAAGAGAAAAAGCTGAAGCCCAAGGTCATGGTGCCGTCACCCAGCCACTAGAGCTGGCACTTTGAATTTGGACTTCTAGCCTCCTAAATTATAAGAAAATAAATTCCTGTGTGTTAAAGCCATCTCCATTAGTGATATTTTCTGTTAGAGTGGCACTAAAGAACCAAAACAACTGTCATTCAGATGGATTGACATAGTGGCTGCAACAGTGAGATTAACCATAGCAACAATTGTGAAGATGGCACAGGACCACACAGTGTTTCATTCTGTTGTACATAGGATCACTATGAGTCACAACCAACTTGACAGCACCTAACAACAACATGTCTGGGTTGATTTCTGTATGATAATGTCATGTGTGTTAATCACAGATTGTGGTCTTCTGTTGTTAGTTTTCTATCTGAAGGACTCTCTTTAGTGTTTCTTGTAAGGCTGATGTGGTTTTTATAAATTCCTTTATTTCTGTTATCTGGACATGTCCTAATTTTGCCATAATCTCTGAGGGACAATTGGTTGGCAGATTTTTCTTCAAGATATTAAGATGTCATATCATTGCTTTCTCTCCTGCATGGTTTCTGCTGAGAAATCAGAGTGCAGTTTTATTGGTTGCCATTTATAAGTATCTTTTCATTTTTCCTGAGCTGCTTTCAGGATTCCTTCTTTGTCTTTTGTTTTGGAAAGTTTGATTATGATATGTCTTGGTGATTTTCTTTTGGAATCTATCATGTTTGGGGTTTGTTGAACTGGAATCCATATCTTCTTGTCTTTCATCATATTAGGGAAGTTCTCTTCCAAGAAATTTATAATTTTCTCTGTGGTTTTATTGGTCTCTTCCTGTTCTGGAATTCTGCTCATACATAAGTTATTCCTCTTGAGTGTGTCCCACATAAATCTTAGACTTTCTTCATTTGTGATTGTATTGTATGTTGGTGTGATTCCCCCAGATTGGGTTTCTTGGGGGGGGGGGGGTGTTGTCTTGTTTTGTTTGCTTAATTTTGTTGTGCTATATCAGAGTAAGTAGTGCTTGTGTGCTACTCTGTTTGTAATCTCACAGAACTCGGTGTTCATCACCTGTCTCCTTGTGGGTGTGATAGAGAATGAGAATGTGTGCACAGATCTGTTTCCTGTTGATGTAGAGCAGTTGAGGGTAGGTTGAGCTGGTATTGGCCACCCTCTTATCATTGATCAGTTAATGTGAAGCAGATTGTGGCCCTCACCTGGTGTGGGGAGCTACAGGAGGTTTGGTTGTGGTTGTGTAGTGTGGGCACTGTTACTATCTCCCAACTTTGGTCGCTGTCACCCATGTGGGTGTCCCTGGATTACTCAGCAAGCAGAGCTTATTATTGGACTGCTGCCCTGATGAGATTGATGGCAAATATTCAGAATGGCTACTCCATCAGGCCAATTGACAGTCCACAGCTCCATATGTCTCCTTATTCACTGTTTTCATTCAGTTTCTTGTACTAGTCAGTATTTCATCTTCCCTTCAAAGCTCAGGTTTTCAGAATCATCTGTATCTGTTTCAATTGGTTTATTGTTTTTTTGTTGTAAACGTTCTGCATAGCTCATCTGCCTATTCTGCCATCATTCCAGAGATCTTTTTAGAAGTTTTTATATTTTTCTTTTCCACTAATGATTATTTTCTCCTCCCCTGCTTTTATAATTATACCCATTTCCCCATTTTTTGAAAATTAGATTCCAACTATTCCCCATAGCAGGCTGCTTTATAAGCCCGTTTTCCCTTTTTGGACTCTTTACAGAATTTTTACTTACTCTTTTACTACCCCAATGTCTAAATTTTACACAGCTAGTTTGATATTTTAATATGCCCTTTCTATTTCAAAATCCATGTATAACAGGGGTTTAGAGTGACTGGAAAGAGAGCTACATTTGGGTTGTCTGCCAAGCAATAATTCATTAAGCTGTAATTCTGTTTGAAATTGCTTAAAAAGAAAACAGTAACCAAGTGCTACAAACACTCAGAAACACCGTATTCCTGCAAGGAAAATTATCATTGTGATATGGAGTGATGTGAAGCAGAATCTCAGTTACTATCCTTCCAGGGAAGCAGCAGTTTGTTTCTCTTGCATACACAAAACCACAGGCAGTGGTTCAGACCTGAGTCATATGCCTTTTGCCACCTTTCCAAACATAGTCTTGCTGAGAAAAACTCTATGCAAGAATAAAATGTTATATGTATCAGAAGCTGCTGAAATACCAAAATGTGTGAAGTGTCAGGTATTTGGTTTGTTCACTACAGAGTCACATGTGGGACTAAACAGACCAACTACATAAGTGGTATTTTGAGAAGCTAATTCAGGTTATGTCCTAAAGTCTCTGACAGTAGCCTACACTACTGTATGTTCCAAGCTGGTGCTTGATGAGGAGTGCATCTGGGATAATCCCCAGATAGCACATGGTGTATTCACCCTTCTCCACTGTTAACCTCTGTTAAGTTTTAGTTGAGAATGCTGAAACACAAATTGAGATAAGAAAATACAAATACTGTCATGGAAAATACCCTTATTTTTTTCAGTATGTCACTTTTCCATAATTTGTACTACTAAAATCTAAAACATTGCTAATAGCACATGATATCCCAGCGAGTAAGCTAGACAGTTCACATTGCCAAATGAGAGACATGGCCCATTCAAATTTCTGTACATGTCTCTGGCAGCCTTGAACAAATTTTCTGTCAGGAAAACAATTTGCTTTCCCCAAGAACTTCCTTTGTTTCTAGTTTTACAGATAACTAGAGCAAATTTAGGAAGCTCACAGCCAAATGTCAAACCTGTCTGGTAGTATTTTAATAACCCTTTCTAATTAGCCCTGTTTCTGTTTTATTAAGTTTGTTGCCATGTCATTTTTTTTTTTTTTTTTTTTGGAATAATAGTGGGATGAAGTAATTGCCCAGAGGCCATTGGCCTACTTAGTTGCTGGGATGTCAGCATGGAATTACCTGGAAGATGGGATGGCCTGATGAAATGTGGACAGCCACATGTTCATGCATGCCACAGTTACAGAGTCTGATAGATATGCCATAAGAGAGTAGCAATGTTGAAAAAAAATATATATATAATAATGGCATAGCTGTAAGCGGTAATATTATCTCATTTTTAAATGTCAGAAGATGGCATATTCAAATAAAAAAAAAAATCACTTGAGTTCACATGAAGCCTTAAGTATGGCTTTGATAAGACCCAAAGTATCACCCAAGATAATACCTTTGTATGAAGGAGAAAATACAGATTTGCCATATGATAAATTGAAGTGGTTCTTTTTGGCAGGGACTGGGCCTATATGCTGCTAGAGACATTGAGAAGCACACCATGGTCATTGAATATATTGGAACTATCATTCGAAATGAAGTAGCAAACAGAAAAGAAAAACTTTATGAGTCTCAGGTACGTGTCTGGTATATGTGATTCTATAAATCTTGCCACATTCACCCTCTCTGTCTCATGCCATCTAAACATCCTAAAAAGGCAGGAGCAAACTTGGCTGTCATGTTTTTGAACAAAAGCCATTATCTGGATATTCTTGTATTTTTCTCTTGTCACTTTCCATTTATCTTTTTTGGTTGGTAGTGCTATTTACATAGCTGTCCTTTGGTGGGTGCACTAGTCTCATACACATTGACTATAAGGACCATGGGTACTGCATTTTACTCCTGCCTCCCCTCAATGAGTGCTGTGGTTGGTTCACATTGGTTAATGAGCCCGGCTTCATAACCAACCAATGATTCATTGCTTTACACTTATGCCATGGCATGGTCACCTCCAACTGTGAGTACCCACAGTGAATGTGAATGGGTGCATTTCAGTTCTACTTAGTACTTCTCAGGTAGATATGAGCACAGAGAAGTAGTGCCTCATCTACGCTGATGACTCGCTTTTTTAATGAGAAATAGAAAAAGTACTTTCTCTTGCAGAACCGCGGCGTGTACATGTTCCGCATGGATAACGACCATGTTATTGATGCCACACTTACAGGAGGGCCTGCGAGGTGAGATCAAAAAGAAATCTGATAAAGTTAGTGCTTTGCTTGGCGGGCTTTATGATAATGGAGAGAGATTGAAGCAGGGGAGAAATGCTCACTATAGCCTTTCAGTGGTTAAAATTCAGGACAAATGAGTTGTTTTAAAAAGAATTTTTACTTAAAATTGTATATTTCCACTTGTTCTGTTAGCAGGCACATAGAAATGTAATTAAGAAAAAAGTTTTCCCCATTAATTGAAGATTTTTAAAGCTTTTTCTAGTTGTTTTGTTAATCATTTTCCAACATGACGGTTTACAGATATATCAACCATTCATGTGCACCCAATTGTGTGGCTGAAGTGGTGACTTTTGAGAGAGGACATAAAATTATCATCAGCTCCAACCGGAGAATCCAGAAAGGAGAAGAGGTAAGAGCTAGAGGGATGGTGTCTGCCAGGTGGTTCATACCCTGATACATGGTAGTTTACTCCTTTATACAAGGTAACTTGCTCAACACTTTCTCACTTCTTTATTGCTAGAAGTTTGCTCATGTTAGGTCAAATTTTGCCACTGTATCACATTTCCCCTAAGATAATCAAGCTACCACATTATTCCACAGGACAGCTTTGAAAGTGTTCATTCTCCACTTGTTTTAGTCCTCTAGTGCTGCTTTAACAGAAGATACCACAAATAGATGGTTTATTCTCTTACAGTTTAGGAAGCCAAGTTTAAAGAGTTCAGAGTACCAGCTCTAGAGGCTGGGTGAAAGCCCCTCAACCTTGGGCCTCAGCTCTGCCTCTTATTCTTGGCCCACTGAAGCTGGAGGCTTCTCTTAACTTGTAGCTTCTGGCTATTGAGGCTGACAAACCCAAGGTCAACAAATAAAATGGAACAATCCCAAGATTACCAAGCAACTTGGCAGGCCACTAGTTCAAGTCCAGTAACAGTCCCAAGATTGGCACACACGTTGGCCATGGAGATGAAGTCTTGGCTACATGCAGGGTCCAAGCATTCCAAAAAGCTCACAGACCTTTCTCAAAGCTATCTTCTTATGTACTGGAAGCAGACCACATCCCTAAGGCAGCTAGTTACTCAGCTGCTCTGGTAGATTCCACCATGGAGCTGATGACCAATCTCATCATGGAGAATAACTACATCCAGCTTCCTAGCCACTCAAAACCAGGCCCAGCCAAAGTGACACACAACTTAAGGTGATACATAATTACCAGGCTTCTCCCCATTTCCTTATTTTTCTTTTCCACAAATTAACATCCCCATATCACTCATTAGTTGATACTGTTTTTCATATGTCTTATAATCTTTTATACCCCCTTAACCTGGACACAATTTGCCAGTATCCCTCTCTAAATATTATACGGGAGCTCTGGTAGCGTAGTGGCTAAGGCACTTGACTGCTAACCAGAAGGCTGGCGGTTCAAACCCACCAGCCACTCCTTGGAAGGAAGGTTGGGCATTCCTACTTCCGTAGTGATACTGCCTCGGAAACCCAAGGAGGGGTCGCTATGAATCGGGGCCGACTCGATGGCAAACAACAACAACAAATATTATACCTGTAATTGAACTGATGTTTGAAGAAAATAATGGAATTGCCACTGAGGTCTCCAAGAACACTAAAGCTTGTGTGATAGCACATTGAGGCTGTCAAGAAGCAAATTTTGGGCTGCCATATTGCTCCACGTTGCTCATATTCTCACTGTGATCAATACAGTCTTACTGATTTTTCACATCAACGCATTTGCAAGGCATTTGGGTGTTTTGAGTTTTTTTTTAAATTCCAAATGCTGGACTTGACGTTTGTCTCTTGTTTCACAAAATGACTTTGGCCAAGCATCTGAACTGTTAAGATTATTACTGGTCTTGGGTGTCCCATCATGTTTCTTAGCTTTATCTTACACAAATATGATCATCTTGTCTTTATCTAAGTGCCCTCATGTGGAATTGGACTGCAGCAGTGTTGGTTTCTGTAGGAAACCTCCCACCTTCCATGCCTACCCCTGTTTTTGCAAAATGAGGAGACAGTGTGTCTTTCCTTTGTGAGAGCCCCTAGCCCTTCTTGAATGTAGCTGTGAGACTATACTTCTATTTTTTTGATCATTTTATTGGAGTCTCATTTTTTAAATCAAGAATATGGGTTTGACTGGACTTGGAGCCCATTGTAAATCTCACAGTCACTTGAAGATTAGGTGAAAGAAAGTATGTGAGGTCACCGTGTGGTGCCAGTGAGGATGAGTAGTGGCCTGGTAGTTCCAACTGCTATGGGGCCAAGCACATGTGTCTCTGGCTGTACTCTACCTCAGTGTTCTTGAGCAAGTCATTAAAATGATCATTTTATTTTCTGTAAAGTAGGAAATATAATTTCCTCACAGAGCTCCTCTAAGAACTCAGCAAATACCTAAACAAGACCCCTATTATCATTACTACAAGCGACTACTCATTAAATAGTGGTTCATTTCCTTTCTCTATGGAAGGAGTTTCCAAATACTATCCTAAAGTACTAGAAGAGACTTAGAGACGATCAGGCTTCCCCTCATTTTACATTGTACAGTTTCTTGGGGTGGAGGGTTAGGCATATATAGCCATAGAACTTACGTAGACTGGTACAGGGCTGGTCTGTGAGATTAATAATAATTTGATAATGTTTAAAGAGCAAGACAGCCTTTAAATATTCTTTTAAACAAGGAAAGTTGAAGGAGGAAGTCAGTTGTTACCTTCTAAAGGCAATTTCTCTCTCCCCAAACTTGCATGCCCCACACAGCAAACAGGAGGAGGGAGGGTAGGGGGATGCACCCACCCAATCATCGGATTCCACCGTGCACAGTGGACAGTGCTAGGAGGATATGGTTTGGCTTTCTGTCTCCTTTGTTCCATTGGGATCCCTAGGTGAAGTGTAGCTATTTTAGTTTCTTTATTTCATTTTGAGGTTTCCACCCAGGGTCCTCTGGGACCTCAACAAAACAGATCTCCCTGTTTTGTTTGCTGAACTGGGGAGATCTAGACAGGAGACCCCCTCCCTGTTCTGTCTTCTCTAACTTTGCTCACACTGATTCTTTGCTGTGGCAGCTTTGCTATGACTACAAGTTTGACTTTGAAGATGACCAGCACAAGATCCCGTGTCACTGTGGCGCTGTGAACTGCCGGAAGTGGATGAACTGAGCGCATTCCTCACCCAAGCGGCAGCGGCTTGTCCCTAGGAAGAAGTGATTCAACACGCCATTTGAATTTTGCAGACAGAAAAATACTTTTGCTTTCTGTTTTATGACTTTTTGAAAAATAGCTTCTGGGAATTCTGATTTCCTCAGTACTTTAGGTTAACGCAGCCCCACGAGAAAGCTGACTAAAGCATCTTTCCTGAAGTTCTGAGGCTAAACAGAATCACAGAATGGTCCAGCACTTTTGCTTCTTTTTGTCTTCTTTCTCTTGTTTTCCTTTCTTTTTTTTTTTTTTGGTGGGCGGGTTTTGTTTAGCTTTGTTTTTTTAATCTCACTAAGGAGAAACTTTTACTGGGGCAAAGAGCCGACGGCTGCCCTGCCCCATGGCAGGGGCCTCCTATGAATGTAAGACTGAAATCACCAGCGAAAGGGAGATGTCCAAAGTGCTGGCCACAGCCTTATTTGAAAAGGGGCAGGCCCTCTAATTTAAAAATTTTTAAATAAAGTAGACACCACTGAACAAGGAATGTACTGAAATGACTTCCTTAGGGATAGAGCTAAGGGATAATAACTTGCACTAAAATACATTTAAATACTTGATTCCATGAGTCAGTTTATTGTAGTTTTTGATTTCTGTAAAATAAGAGAAACTTTTTGTATTTATTATTGAATAAGTGAATGAAGCTATTTTTAAATAAAAGTTAGAAGAAAGCCAAGCTGCTGCTGTGACCTGCAGAACTAACAAACTCTGTTACTTTGTACAAATATGTAAATATTTTGAGAAGAAAATACAGTATAAAAATAGTTATTGACCAAATGCTACCAGGCTCTGCAGCAGCTCGGGTGCTTATAAAATGTTCCTAGGGATGTTACAATATAATTTTTATGTTATTAAATATGCCATTATAATTATGTAATAACCAAAATTTCAACCTAGAGTGTTTGGGATTTTTTGGAAACTATGGTCTGTTAGTACTTAATTGTTTTATATACCTTACTTCTGATAGAACAGAGTGTATGCTATAACTACAACTTTTATAGCTGTTTTGGTAATTTAAACTAATTTTTTTCATATTATATTGTTGCATCCCTATTTCTTCAGTCAGGTTTTTTTGTGCTTACAATTTGTGATAACTGTGAATAACTGCTTAAAAATACACCCAAATGGAGGCTGAATTTTTTCTTCAGCAAAAGTAGTTTTGATTAGAACTTTGTTTCAGGCCACAAAGAATCATGTAAACATAATAAGATAATGTAGCAGGAACTTAAATCTAACTCTGTAGCCTTCTATTTAACACAGAAATTTGAAAGAAAAAAAAAGAGAGATGTGATTATGCTTGCAGCTGCAGGACTCCGGCAATATGGTTTTGAAAGATGTAATTTTAAAATGTGTTTGTATGAACTGTTGTTTACATTTCTTTAATAAAAAAACAAAAACAAAAAAACACTGTTTTGTGTTTGCTTGTAGAAACTAAATCAGCATTTTGAAACAGGTTAGCTTTTTATTTTGTACTTAAAATTCTGGTACTGACACTTCACAGGCTAAATGTAAAATGAAGTTTTTTGTGTGCACAATAAAGTGGGCTGTAAGCTGTGGGTATATCAGTGATACAGTTCTCAACTTGTAATGTATATGGCATGATGTATTTTTATCTTACAGAATAAATCAAGTGTATATATTTTTCTCTTGATAAATAGCTGTATGAAATTTGTTTCTTGAATATTTTTCTTCTCTCGTACAATATTATGACATCCTACCAGTATTTGTCCTACCAGGTTTTTGTTTTGTTTTGTTTTCTGTTCTGTATAATAGTATCTAATGTTGGCAAAAATTGAATTTTTTGAAGTATACAGAGTGTTATGGGTTTTGGAATTTGTGAACACAGATTTAGAAGATCACCATTTACAAATAAATATTTTACATCTATAAAGACTGCCTCCTCGAGTTTCTCTGCATCTGTCTCATGCTCTAATCAGCACTCTTTTTTTTGAGGGACTAGTTCTTTATTTCAAAAATACATTTGTCAATTTTCAGTATCAAAAACAGTTGCCCTATTGGTTTCTCTTTCTCCCAGTCGGCCCCCGAAAGAGACCACACCAAAGAAGAGTACATTTTAAGCCAGTAAACTGCAGGATGCACACCTAACATACTTCACAGAAACCTCACCAAAAAGGGGGAACTGGGTGCATAAAGGACTTTTAAAACATCAGCACACTGCCAGCCGACAGACTGTAGAGAGAACTCACAGCCAGATGGGGTGGCTAGTGCACCCCAACCCCAAAGAAGCAAAGTTTCAAAATAATATAAAATTTCAAAAAACATTTGTTCATAGATAATTAAATATTTCTCCAGCACTGACTGGTACAAAGCACAGAGATGGCACTTTGAGGGCCAGCAGCTTCAGACCCAGAATAGGGTGACGAGATGAGTTTCATATGGCTAAATCAGTGCCAGACACTTAATTTTCTTTTCCATCTTTTTAAAAAAGGAGGAAGGAGAGCAATTAAAGAGGTCACCCCACCACAGGGGCACATGATCCATTCTGTGAGTAGTTGGGAAGAGGGTAGAGAAAGGATGGGGTAATGATTTGATAACAGACAGAGTCTTAATTTATTATTTTTTTTTTTTTGTG